AAAATGCCTTTCACACTCACGAAAACCATGGAACACGAACATGTAACAGAAAAATAACGTCTTTTGTTTTATAAAAAAGATTCTGTCAACCAAGAATACATGCGCAAGGCAAGATTTATGAAACGAAACAGAAAATAATCATGTCATTGTCAGTGCAATGCAGACAGCCTGACCTGTTTTGATTAGTTCGCCCGTTTCTCGTTTGCTGGCCATTTTTTCTGGAGTGTGACACAAATGGTGAACATGATACTGCCAAATCAATCAAGAACCAGGATACAGCTTGGATACGCTGAAACTTTGTAAATCGTCCTCTTTTCAATTGTAAACTTTATTCCAGTGTAATAAAGGTATACCTACATGTACCATGAAAAATTGTATCGCATCACTTTGGAAATTTACGCTAAACACATGTACTAAATACTAAACAAGCGCACATATCGTATTCATTTACAGCATCGGATTTTAAAACAATGACTCGTGGAATCACAAAGAAACTGTTAAGTACGTATTTCACACATTACCGAGGACCGCGGTAGAGACCGGTACAGCGGTAGAGACCCCTAATTATAAGCAGTCCGCGGCTCTCCCCGGCGTTCTGCGGTACACCGCGGTAATGACCGCGGTGCACCGCTCATTTGATTTCCTACTCTTCCCTAATATACACATGTACACGTTGATGATAGATGAAATTAACAACTGCAATCAAGAAACAACATTCAATCACTGGGCTGCCTAGTAATATGAGAAATAGGTAATTTTTTTTTCACAATGAGATCACTCATATTGCGTGAAAGGTGTGGAACAACTTAAAATGCTACATAATGTATGCCGGCATGATGTATATTGACATTCACTTGGCACAAAATATATAACAATATATCACTGTGCTTTACCTGCTGGTGAGTGTGATAAATCCTTGGCATAAAGTTTAGCTCTGTTTGCATCTTCCCTTGCTTGGATTGCTGTGACGTCTGCGGCTTGTGCTTTGTCTCTTGCATGAGATGCTCTGTGGGAAGAAGGTAAGAATTTATGTATTCCTGTCGTGTTGATGTGACATGAATGTTTTACATATTTTGATTTGATATATATCACAATTAAAATCAGTAATTAGGATAAGATTTTGAAAAAAGACTATAAATTGTGAATTCATTCAATTTTGTGAGAATCTGAGAAAATTGTATAGTTTTGTGGCAGTGAATATTTTATTGTCAAAGTGAATTTAATCAATAAATCATATCACAATTTTAGCATTTGTTATTGAAAGGGGCATAATAAAGCCGTGTTTATTTCACAATATTTAAAAACTTGAGGCATTGAATGTACACACATGGGTTAAAATGTTCATCTTACATAAAACAGTGTACGTAGATACAAACAACTCCTTGATACAATGTCCCAGGGTACAATGTACATGTATTTGCATATAATTATCATAAAAATATGCCATGCCAGAGCAAAACAGAAGTAGTATTTTACTTAGATTAAGAAATATGACAAAATTGGTGAAAAACACAACTTATGAACAAATTTAAATGCATCACTGCAAACCTAGTTCACATCTCAACAAAAATACCATTAAGACAAATATGAAAGATGATTAGTGGCATCTATCATTATCTATTGATGACGGTTCAATAGTCATATTTGTGAATATATATTGTAAATGTTTCTCAAGAGATCAACAGTCTCAGTTCCATGGATATAGATGTACCACTATCACAAATAATTAATGAGCAGTCTGGGAGTAATGAATTGTTATATGCTACAACAACAACTATAAGTACATTATCAGTTTTCACATAGTGCGATAAAGGTCAACAGCAGGTGTTGTATGTTTACGCTGATAATCTTAGCAGGATGAAAAACAAAACGAGAATTCCAAGGTTTGAACAAATGCAAATGGATTCTATACTACTGTAGGTATAAGCTGGAGGCTTCACAGTCCTTGACATAGATACGATTTCAAGACACGTTTTGCCTTGAAACATGTTAAAGTCATTACTCTTATTAATCTAGGCAATTCACATGAAATTGTACACATGGTACATACACTACACTGGTTCATAAAGTCTGTAATCATTAAATTGTTGTAGGAATATTTGAATATTGATAAATTCTCACTGCCTAAACTGAGTATAATTTTTACTGTTACAAAATGTCAGGGTCTTGTACGATTCCTGGAATTCAAGGCAATTTGTTTTGCATAATTTATGCTATTTTGACTTTTGATGACAGCAGCAATTTACTTATCAGGAGCATGAAGTTTGTTCACAACATTGTCTTACGAGAAATCCCACAAGAACTTTTGCTCTTTTTAAAAATTTAAATTAATTATTTGGCTGATTTGCATATAATATTGCATTCTAAAATTCTCACTGATCACAGAATTGTGCATTTTTGGATTCCCCAAAAGTGTGTTCATCTTCGATTTTTTTTTGTACCTATCTATGGTTTAACACTTAAACAACCAAAAGCTTTGTTATGAATGATGGATAAAACAACACGACTAGCAAACTATACTTACTATTATTCAGTCATGATTCGATACAAAAAATGCTATTTCTTTGGTTCGCTATGAAATATAATTATTTAAACTTTAACTTTTACCATTAAGTGAATGGTCTAGAGAGCATTAAATGAAAATGCAAAATGAAATTTGGACATGTGTCACATAACATAAATATGAAATTCGAGGGATTTGAACAAATTCATTTTTTATAACTTTTGCAAAATTATCAAATTGCATCAAAAATGCTACGGTTCATGATAACTAATGTGTTCAAAATGTCTGTATAATTACCCACAATTCAATAGTTTCTCTGGTTGTTTTTTGACATCTTAACTTGACCTATTTCCATTTGTTAGTTAGAAAAGACACTAAACTAAACTTATCTCTATAAAGATCAAAAAGATCAAACCTCTGAACTGATGACTGTCATTATATATAGAAAAACCTACGAGACCATACTAGGGAAATACGATACTCCCTAAGATACTTGAAATCTGTCTATATACTACAGTTATAAATGGAAGAAATATGACCCTCCTAAGGATATATAAGGTCTGTCATCACTCCACTACTGTGCAGCAATATACTCCATAAGATAGTTAAAATCTGTCTATACAACACACAGTTTTAATGGTTGAAAAATAGTACTTCCTAGCATAGTTAAAGTAAAAAGGTTTTGTACACAAACAGTTTATTCAACAACACGACTGATTTAAAAAAGTGTGAAGAAGAACAATCTCAAATTGAATTGAAGCCACGAGCGGCATAAACAGGGCCCAAGCAAACAGGATTCTGTTTCATAATTAATAAGGTCACTGAATTGCCATTGGGGTATAGTTTCAATCTGTACCATAAGGTCGAAATGCAGTTAGTTCCATGGTTTACCTGGTTTGGTTATCGAAATATGGTTTTATGAATATATAATGAGCAATGCGGTTATGCATATTCATGAGGTTACATGATCATATATGACCATTTCTTATATTATGTACATGTTTTTTTTGATGCCTTCATTATGACACTGGTTGCATATCCCGTTCAGCAACACTGTTTCAGATATGACTGCTTTGAATATTAATGAGTTCATATGACCATATATGGTCATCTGTTATTTTAGTCAAATCTTCCTAACTATACACAGTGCTTGAGATATAGCAGCAACCATATGATCTAGTCATGTGCCATTTGGGTGGAAGAATGCATCTCAAGAGTAGAATACATATGAATGCACACATAATACAACACATGTAGTGGCACAAGTTCCGTTTTCACGAAATCCAAGAAGGCGGCCAAACCATGTGACACATTAAAATTATATTATTTTTTTCTTATGAAGCTATGGCCTGACATGTTATACAAAAAATAACTAGTAAATTGGTCAAAGTACCTTTGAGTAACAAATGCCCAAACTTTTGATCAATTTTGCCTAAAATCCAAGATGGCGGCCAAACCCAGGTGACTGATCTGAAATCTTTTTTAACTTTTTTAAATTCAATCCAATATGACTGCCGAACAAATTGATCAATCAACATTCTGAAAGTCTTATGCACCAGTTCACAATAGGGACTATAAGTATGGAGAAGTTCAGACTATATGTATTCCATCAGCGATTTTCTCAAACAACTTGACGAAAGGAAATTATGAAAAAATAAGGAAGGAAGAAAAAAACGAAGATAACAATAGGGGCCTAGGGGCTTGGGCCCCTGAAAACCTGACGATAATAATAGGGGCAACAATCAAAGTTGCCATCTTTGTTTATATGAGATCCATATCTCACGCATGCATGGTGCGATGACCACCGCCCTTTAAATTAATGCTTGAAGCCATTACATGTTTAACATGGGTCCCATGTTACGTATACAACGCTAGTAAAATACTTAGATTACATGAAATTTGAACAGCCATTTTAGTGCTTGATAATATCAGATGGATTGTACAAATTATTTAAAAAGTATAAATTTCAACTCACCTTGAAACACCTATATCAGCTTTCTGTCGGGCCAACTCGGCTGCCTGGTTGGCAAAGTCTACCGCTCTAACGACACGGTCAGATATCTTCGCAGACCTAAGAGGGAAGATTTTTTTCTTTCCTGATGCTACCAGTTGATTATTCTTCCATTTGCCTTCCTCCCTGGAGCCATCATGACGAGTCGTGACACCATATCCATGTTTTCTATTGTTCTGCCATTCTCCTTCATATTTCAGACCATCAGAACGTTGACTGATGCCATAGCCAGCACGTTTATCCTGCTTCCACTCGCCCATGTACACCTCAGTTAGATCGCCCTCAGGTTCCTCATTAAGATAACTGACATCGTCGCCGTATAATGATGACGGTGCTGATCCTGAACTCAAAGTGCTAGTTGTACTTCGTAGTGAATCTTGATGAGGCAAAGAACGAGCACGTGAACTAGAATGGCTACGTGAACTCGTTTGGCTAACTTGACTATTTGCTGTTGATCTACTACGGCGATCACTTTTTCGTAATCGGAGACCTTGCATAAGGGTTCGTCTCAGGCTCCCAGTCCTTTGCAAAATACCCTTATGTAGCGGTTCCGAGGCAGGCTCAACATTTAAAACAAATCCACCTCTGTGACCGAAACCATC